ATGGGACGGGTTGGGTACACAAGTAAGGGCAGAGCAACAACGGGGAGCACTGGGACACTCATGAACCTCAGGTTACATTGAAACATCCCGAACTTTTTCGCAAACCAAACTAGAACTCAAACCGAACCATTTACTTCGGAGCAACCGAAACCACATTTTAAAATAAAAAAACTGATATTATTTAAGAATTTTAAATAAAAAGCTCTAACACTTGGGCAATCACAATCCAAATACTTAAAACAACTCAATTCAGAGTCTCCAGTTTATACTTATAACCATGCAACAAAATAATTAAAATATTCTAGCTCTGACTCCTCATGGACTCATTGACTTCTCCTCAATGCTGGTACGACTGCTCGCCTCACCTTGCTTCTTCTCGGAATCCACCTTGGCTAACCCTTCCTCCACCTGGTGAGTGAGAAGGGGTAAGTCTCGTCGTTGCTTCCTAAAGTCTTTGCATAAGCAAATCTCCTTACTAACACATTATTAGCGGGTTTTCTTTCTTAGACGAAAGTCTTTCTCGCTTTCATCCTTTATACTTAATTCCTTAAAGGCTTATAGAAGTTCTCTACTTGTGTCTTAACTTATACACACATCACTAGGGAATCACACGTTACGTCTCGCCGTCCGGTGTCCCTACCTTCGTATGCCAACCGCGTTACATCTCGCCGTCCGGTTGCATACCCAACTCGGCCATGGTCTGCGTTACGTCTCGCCATCCAGTACCGTGCCTGATCAACTACTACGTTATGTCTCGCCGTCCAGTAGAGATCCAACCATCTACCGCGTCCAGTAGTGGTCCAACCACCCGGGGGTTCAGTTACCATCAATTACAACAATACATTCAGTCATACATAGCACAATGCGTGCCTCCACCGTTAGTAGGCGGTGGGATGCCTCACACATATGATCGTGCAAGCTCAAAAATTTACTAGCATAACTTGAAATTAAAGACATAAACTAAAAGACCTCGATAGAGATTTTACCCACTTTACACTCACCTCATTTGACGAACTTAATCGATCGAAACGACCCCTCTTTATTGCCGATGGATCCATGTCATCGTCTGAGATTCCATGCTCAAATTCCTCTTGCTTCACCTCCTTTTGCAATTTCTGTTTTATGTTGCTTATGTTTGTGAGCGAGAGGAAATTGACCTACCTGCTTCTTGTCTCAGTCTTTCATCCTCAGATTTGTTAACATATAGTTGTCGCGCAAGGGAACCCATATAGTTGGCCTACATGATTAACCAAAATGGAGTTTGAAACAACACAAGTTGCAGATTTTTGGCTTAAGTGGTAAATTCAACGTGGAAACAAACAAGGCAGCTCAAGATTCTGAATATTTCAACTACAATAGTTAAGTACAAGCAACCAACCTTAATAGTTGAATTGCCTGACTCAACCGTTACCCCTACTTGTTCAACACTATACTTTGATTCGGCTCTTCGAAAAGGAACATCCGCTCTAACAATTCCGTCTCCGTCTACCAAAACAACTGGAAATGTTTCAAAAAAAGTAGGCATACGGCGTACAAAAAGTTCCCGTCCTTGCGTAACTCGCCATAGAAAGCATCCTTCTTTCTCTTGTTTATAACTAAAAAAGATTCAGAACAGCAAAATGCACGTATTTAGAGGAGATAAACAAGTATATCAAAATGTAAAATCTTGACTAACAACAAACAATCTTTTCAAAAGTATGTTTAAATGTCAACCCAGGGCGGTCCATGTAACCCTACTTCGATTACTTGTAACATTATCTAGCGATTGTTTTTTTGGTGACAACGATGATCTAAAGTTAAAACATTTGGAAAAGTAAATGGATTTGACACTAATTGAGAAGGCGTCACTCGGGTGTTGCTCCCCCTGGCTAGCAATTATGACTTGTCGGATCGAATGAAAACGTTTTGTAAGGAAGTTTTAAACCGCAGGGAACTGCAACAAGTGGAAAAATACCACTCTTTCGGTCTCTAGGTCAAGGGAATTCGATTCAAGCCACCAAAGTAGCTCTCTTGACCTATTGACTAAGGGTTGCTAAGAATTCACCCTTGACTCGGAGTTCGGACGACCAAATTACAACCAACCCTAGGTGCTAATACAAACAAAGAGGGTTGCCCTACATTAACCTAGATAGGAGACAAGATTTGCCTAAGAAAACCCAGCTTTACGAGCCTCTTTCAAAGAAAGGGGGTTTCCTCTCTATCTAGGTTAGAATGACAAATAGATTGATAGGCAAACACACAACACAATCTTCCATGAAAATACCTCCAAATGCATATTAAAACACATCCACACATAAATTATTCAATCCATACAAACATTTACATAATTGTAGTTAGGGTTTGCAAACATCCAAGTGAAATAAGGGACTACTCCTTGCTAGGAGAAGGGAAAACACAAGAGAGAAGAAGAAAAACCATCATGATAATGCTAGCCTTGTTCCTTGTGTTGAAGAGATTCTGTTTTGGGGAAGGAATTTCCAAAACCTTGCTTGAAGATGAAACCCTAGCTTCTTCTCTTCTATGGTTAGTCACTTTCTCACTCTAGAAATCTGAAGAAGAAGTTTCTCACACTAGGTCTCTCCCGTCCCCCTTTTCTCCTTCAGCTCAAACCCCCCTTTTTATACCCAGGTCGGGCTCACATCACGATCCCAGTTCACGGCCATGAACTCAAGTCGCGGACCGTGATCCCAAGCCAAAATGCGTCGTCTCAAAAATCCAATTTACGGTGTACGACTTGGGTTCATGGTCTTACGACCGTGAACTGACTTAAGTCCAGTGAAATAAAAAATGTCCCTGGACACCTGGCATTACACGGCTTGCGGCTCTAGTTCACGTCGCCATGACCGTGAACTAACGACTTCCACCGTGATCTGCTACGGCCTCCATCCTTTGACCCGTTTTTTTGCCTTTTCATCCAACTTTCGATTCCGAGGTTGGTTCCACCTGCTCTAGGCTGAAATGCACAAAATCGAGACAAAACCCAGCGTAAAACCAAACCTCCCAGAGTAAAAATACCTCAAACGACTAAGGAAAAAGTGTACAATTGAGCCCGAATCATATATATACATTATTGATTCTTAAACTTAAAGATTCGCAGATGATGTTTGACTCATTAGCCAATAATATTTAGTCTTTGATCTCTATGCTTACGATTCTCAATCTTAGTACAATTGTGAGTATTGATACTTGGTCATTCAGTTTAACATTGAAAATGTTTCCTCACAAACAATTGATCACATTTATTTATTAATAACAACTTCCATCCATCTATCTTACCACTCCATATATAGTCCATACACATACTTAATCACATGCGGTTTGATGTAATAAGTTGATCTTAGTTATCACCTAATCTGTACTTAACAATGAATAGAGAGTGTACATCTGAATCCAAACTGTTCAATTAGTTTATCTAGTTTTACATGCAATCTTCCATAACAACCCCCCAAAGCCACAAATGCATATCAGTGGTCACATATCCATTAATTCAATGAACGGATTTGGCATGAGACTTTAGTGAGCCAATGTAGTGATCAGTTCAACTCTATTAAAAAATCTATGGGAGCATCTTAGCTTGTTGTAGAGAAGAAAGAGAGCATGATGATTGATGAATCTAGGAATCTCGTTATCGGGGCGATGATCATCAACTTAACCATATATAGTAATCAGCAATGTGTATGGAGATTCGATTTAGCTTAGCTGTCGAAAATGTTTTGTTTGGTCTCTGTCTGTCTGTCTCGTCTCGTGATGCGGGAAGGCAGAGTGAGTTGGTCAGAGCGTGCTTTGTGGGTTTGGGTTGGGTTGGGTTGGCTTTGGACAAAGGGAAGATAGAAAACCAGCTGCAACTACGTCTTTGTCCCCCTAACATCAGACTCATACAGTTGTCTTCCTGATTGAGGTTTCATCTATCCTCCAATTGACTGCCACTCGACTTAACTACATATCATTCAATTTAGTATTCATACTTAACTTCCACGTCAACCTAGCTATTCCATGGACCGGAATTGGAGCTTTGGAGTGTAAATTGTTCATTTCTCTTGCATGATTATATTTGTAGGTTCATACTTCCAATGGGATCAAATCCTGAGGTAGGGAACACGATCGATAAGATATGATGACTCTGTATGTAACACATCGCATTGATAGTGAGAGAGGCAGGCTAGGAACATGTAGATACGTACTAGCTAGGCAAAGTGAGACAGAGCACAAAAGTCTATAAACTACATATATATCATGTCAAATTTTAGTACTTTTATATTTTTTACTTGCCGTATAATACTTGAAATTTTAAAACTTTACAAACGGGTCCAATCTGTTGGTATGAGAAATTTCAAATCACTAGTTATATATTGCTATGGATTATAGGGTCAAAAAGTGACATAATGCTAAATTGATCACAAAAACCTCATATCACAGGCTAAACCTTTAGGAAATATTTAGTTGTATGGAATGGTGGTTGAAACATAATTAAACCACATTTTCAACATAAAATAACTTATCGCGATCTTTTCCGATACAACTTCTACTAACCAGTCATTTCATATATATATATATATATATATAATAGCTATGTATGATCTGACGAACGCAACAAAATTACTGCATGCATTTTGGCAATCTCTATATATAAGAATTATATAATGTTATTGACAAGTAGCACCAGATTATTTTAACTGAAAAAGTGGGGAAGCGATTAAGGACTAAGGAGACGAAAAAATGGGGTGGTGTTGGGTGAGTGAGAGTCCATAGATAAATTTGAACAGATCGAGAAAAAGGAAGAGAAAACAAGCGGTGTAAGTTAAATTAATTAAGCTTGCTACTTTGTCCATGTAAAAACATGACCATTTACCTTAAGGTCGATCCCAGTCTCAGTCGTATATCTCTATTATATAAAAGTCTATTTGACTCATTAATTAATATCAACAAGAATTGAAAATAATGCAGCATACCACACGCATCGAAAACCTACATTACATTACATTACATTACATTACATTACATAAACCCCTCATCCCACCTAAGCCTGAGCAAGCTATACTCTCTCTCTCTCTCTCTTCCGTTTGTTACTTTCCCCATTTCTTCTGTTTCTTCCCCCAAGAAAGACAACTGTGCACAGCTAGCTTGCTTACAAATACAATGATGTCTACAACAATGGCGGGCGGTCTAACCGACGAACAGATTGTGGAGTTCAAAGAAGCCTTCTGCCTCTTCGACAAGGACGGAGACGGTACGTCGTCTTCTTCTCCATTCTATTGGCCTGGCCGCGCGGGCTTGTATTGGTTTGTTAATATAAGGTGAATGAAACGGTGTCGCAGGTTGCATTACGATTGAGGAGCTGGCGACAGTAATCCGGTCGTTGGATCAAAACCCGACGGAGGAAGAGCTTCACGACATGATCACGGAGGTCGACGCCGACGGCAACGGCACCATCGAGTTCGCCGAGTTCTTGACCCTCATGGCCAAGAAAATCAAGGTACGTAACGTAACGTAACAACCCGCCTTCTCTTCTCTTCTCTTCACTAACCGGGATGTGGAACGTGGTTCGATCGGTGCTAACATCAATACTTCGAATACGACGTCGTTCGCTGGTTGCAGGAGACAGATGCAGAGGAGGAACTCAAAGAGGCCTTCAAAGTGTTTGACAAGGACCAAAATGGCTACATCTCCGCCACTGAGGTTAGGAACCCTACCAGTTTAATTTTAGTCCCCCTAAATAACTCCATATTTAACCGCCTTCACAATTGACATAACATAACGAGAGAGAGAAAAAAAAAAAAGTCATTTGAAACAAAAGAATGGACACCAATTTCTCTCTTGAATTGTACAAACTAGGAGCTATAGTGGCCTAGTGGGTAAGTACGAATCTTCTTTCCTTTGTTTTCTGATTATTAATTTGTTCAAATTAGACTTTCCTGTCCCCCTCCGGCTGCTGGGGGAATGGATCAGGTGAGTAACCTTATAGTGAGTAACCATGAGTAATCCGTCCACATCAGCATGACATAAGCATATTCTCTCTCATGGAAAGTCTTTAATTTTTCCCTCTTTAATCTTTAACGGACGATTTCTCGCTCATTTTAAGTCGAAATTTAATTTTTTTTGCACAGTTAGATCAGATTAATTGTACTCTTCAAAATGATATCCACTTTAATATATTTTTCGAACAAAAAAATATTGAGCCATTTTTTACCAGCCTATACCATATGGTATTGACTGGTATTGAAATAAAAGCATACCTATGTTTTGAAAAACGTACCATGGTGGTATGAACAAACCAATACTGTAGGATGGTTGAATACATGATGGTAGAAGTATATTAATTGTAATTTACGACTTTTAACATTGTATACCACACAATACCACCCCGTACCAGGGTGGTATTGTATGGTATTGTGTGGTATTTTTTGGTCCTGTAATTTGTTCACCCAGAAATTTGTAGATCCAATAGATCATGATGAACTCGTCCCTTCTGTGCAAACGTTTTCAAAAACAAATTAAAAACGAAGAAGATACCATACAATACCACCTCGTACCAGGGTGGTATTGTATGGTATTGTGTGGTATTTTTTGGTCCTGTAATTTGTTCACCCAGAAATTTGTAGATCCAGTAGATCATGATGAACTCATCCCTGCTGTGCAAACGTTTTCAAAAACGAATTAAAAATGAAGAAGATACCATATGGTATGCAGTTGGTACTGAGATGCCAGAATTTTTTTTCCTAAAAAAATATTGACTATTGATATGATTTTGTACAGCACGGTGAACTCGTTCCATCTGTGCAAAAAAAATTAAAATCCGAGTTAAAACGAAAAAGATATGAGTCAATTAAGAAAACTAGTGAAAATAAAAATAGCCTTTAATTCTCCATCCTTAGATCTGGATTTTCTAAATAAAGGGTTCAGATTTGGTTATTGATGGGTGCATAACCTATGCACCCTATCTTGAGCCGCTGCTGGGTCAATGTGCCAATAATAATAATATACATTTTCCAAATTTTTAACTAAGATAAACCATCTCATAGAACGTGTTAAACTATTTTTCTAGATGTCGATATATATATAGCTGGAGACGCGTTTACAAAATTTACTTAATTTCTTTCTCGTTAATTTATAATTAAAAAACACCTCCAAAAAATAATAGTTTTCGTATTCTTGTGTAAGGGTTTCAGTGCATAATAACGAAAATCTTGTTATCAATTAAATAAATCTTTTGTCTCGGTAATGGTGTAAAAAATGGAACTAATAACTGGATTAGATGGACATGTCATGGTGTATTTCAATCGTGTCAACTTGGTTTAGTCCGTCGGCCCAGTCGAATTAGTGAGTTAAGAGTTAATGGGTTGATCGGTTTAGTTCGGTTTAGCTCAGATATATGAAAAAAAATAACTATATTGTATATACATATATAAATTATCAAATCTCATCTAACATATAGATAATAATAGCATATAGATAATAGCTTGTACTTGAATCCAACATGTAAAAGTTCAACAACACTTAAATACAACCCACTCTAATCCCCAATAATACTTGCAACCAGTTCGTGCGGCAGGAGTGTAAGAGCGCTTACTTTTCAACAATCTTATATTGAAAGCATGAAAAGAGCATTAATATTTCATTAATTTTAATAATTATAAGAATATCATATATATATATAACAAGCCAAATTTACATAGTACCATTATTTGTTTTAATTTAAGCAAGAAAACCCACGAAAATTACAATTTAAGTAAAATTCAAAAGTTTCATTTGAGTTTCCTTTTATGTTTGGCAAAATACACTTGTATAGCCAAAACTTTGATGGTTTGGCCAAATATAGCCACTTTTGGCGAAATACCAAAAATAGCCACTTCCGTCCAATTGTTTGACGGTGTTAGTGAATGTGCTGACTGGGCTAACGGTAAGGCTGATGTGGCAAAAATTTCGTAAGTAACAATGCCAAGTGGAAAACCATCATAATTTTACCTTTTTATTTTAATGAGCTTAAATAAAACAAAATTACCAAAAAGAATACATAAAAAAAACAATCTCTCCACCGTTAAAAAAAAAATCTCTCACCCTTCATCCCTTCCCCTAACTCTGCTTCTCGTTCATCTTCTCTTCCCCACTCCACCTCCATGTCTCCACCACTTATCCTAAAACCACTTTTCTTTTCTTACCACACAAAATAGAGGAGAAGCTTTGAATATGATGGTCACCACTCCTGGTCCATAAGAAACTGTACCCCAGATTCGGATTTGGAAACCCCCAAATTCAAGAACCCTAGTTCTTCCTCCCAAATTCGCTAAATTCTTGAATGCAGGCCTGGGGGTTAGTGATGCTGATCGTTGACGGCAATAGGAGGGAGTTGGTAGCGGTGGTACCCGACTGCGAGCACTAGAAACGGCAAGCGTGAGTTCGTCGACGGGAGTTGATGTAGAGGAGCGACCCGCCGCTGTCATTGTCGTCGAAGCATCTCTGTCTTGAGGAGGCAAATCGAGTTCCCCAGAGCCTCCAGCCCCGAATCATACATCCAAACCATGAAGTTCATCTCCTCATATTCCCAAATTCCATCGGCAATCTCCTTCATCCCTAATTCAATCTGTCGAACGGGACCGCGGCGGCGGGGGAAGAGGAAGAAGGAGAAGCTCGAGAGCCGGGAAGACTGGGGCTGTTCTAGATCTGTGAAACTGGAAGCGGCTAGCGGCGACAGCGGAAGGCGTTAGAGGAAGGTGATTCGTCGGAGGCGACGCGTACGTAGGGGCGACGGTGGGGAAGCAATTAGCGGCGGCGGCGGAAAGCAGAAGAGGAAGGTGGTTCGTCGGAGTCGACGGCGTCCCTGGAGTCTCTTGGCTACCCAGAGATCCCATCTTGTATGCTTAGTTTTGCTCGTTTACCCATAAATCCCTTCTTCCCCCATTGCTTCGACGAGAAATTTGAGACCCGACGAGCGCCGGATTTGATTCAATCGGGGGAGAGAGATGCTTGATGGCGGCGAGGATCGACTGATGGCGACGAGGATTAATTATGACATGGCATCCATCTGGTAAACGACACTAATGAAGGGGAGAATTAATTATTGTATTATTATGCTTTTTATTTATGATTTTTTATATAATTTTAAAGTTAAAATATGACATGGCATCCATGTGGCAAGTGTTGTTGAGTTGTCGATGATGTGTCCGCTGAGTTGGCCGCCAAATAAGCGTTCCGTTAGTTTAACTAACGGTGTCACTGACGCCGTTAAAACATGTAACGGAAATGGCTATATTTGTCATGAAACTTTCAAAATTCTTGCTATATTTGGTATTTCGCCAAAAGTGGCTATTATTGTCATAAACGTGAAAGTTTTGGCTACACAGATGAATTTTGCCTTTATGTTTTACTTGTGTTAAAAAAAAAAGATTTCAAATTTGGTAGTTGAAAGAATGACAGCGAAAAGGAGAAGGGGGCAGCGATCATTGTATGGGAAGGAGAGCGAAGTGGGATACGGCGCCGCACAACGGCACATATAGTTGCCCGCTGAGCGCTGATCCTAGGGGTGTTCAAACGGTGTGGTTATCATGATAACCGTTTTAATCAGTACTATTTGGATAATTTGATTTGGTTAATTTGGATAATTGGTTTGGTTTGGTTAAAGCTCTTAGCTTGTTTGGTTTAGGTGGTTTGGTTTGGTTTCAGACACTCCTAACCAGCCAAACCAAATTAACCAGATAAATTATTAGCCATATATCTAATATATACACATACTTAATACTTTGAATAATCACTCAAGGGTTAAACATTCATCTCTTTTAGACTCATAAAATATAAAGCTTGATATTGTTCCTATAATGTATATTTGTACATGTAGAGTGTAGACCACAACATATGAACGCCTAGTTTAGATAAATCTCATACATTATGTTGGATGAAAACTTGAAAGTAAGGTCATTTTCAGCCTATAAAAATTGCTAAAAGACTAAGTCAATTCAAACAAATACAACAATTCATTAACCCATACCATTGTGATAAATTTTTGTTAGGTGAATACTTTTATACTAACCGTAAGATAATTGTCTTAGTTGCATGTATTTATGTTAATGATCAACTATAACTATGTGTTGATTGTTATGTTTTATTCACTATATAAATTGTGAATTGATAAATTAACCGAAAACTTTCTCACTTAATGATAATGTGATTTTATATTGGTTAATCTGGTTAACCAATTAACCAAACCGATTAAACTTTAGTTTGATTAATTTGGTTGTTGTATTAGTTTGGACGGTTTGGTTATGATATTGTATTCAATGGTTAATGAAATTTAGCCTTATTTGGTTTGGTAATAACCATGGTAACCATTTGAACACCCCTAACTGACCCACTCTTCGGATTTGGCGGGTTTGACTAAATCCGGGCGCATGCTTTAGTAGGTTGTTTTAGTCCATTTTTGTGGGCCGGTTTCGGATCAAATTGGATGGACCGATGGGTTGACAACTTTGACCATCACCCTCTAGGCATTGCCAGCTAATTACCTGCACAGATTTTGACATACATTGCATTTATTCTACTTAGTTTAATTATGAACTATTGGTTTGATTAATTAATGCATTATGACTAATATAAATTGATCTCGTACGTATGTGTACAGTTGAGGCATGTCATGATCAACTTAGGAGAGAAGCTGACCGACGAAGAAGTGGAACAGATGATCAAGGAGGCGGATTTGGACGGCGATGGTCAAGTCAACTACGATGAATTCGTCAAGATGATGTCCACTATGACATGATATTGATTTTCCCCCCTTAATTCATATGATTGGCTAGATAGCTCGAATTCTATTGGGTATTGTACGTAGTGCATAATATGTTTTGTTGTTTAGTGTTGTCGTCAGATTCTTGCAATGTAACATCGGTTACAAATTGTAGGGAGGATGTTCAAACCGTTCAAGTAGCTAGATTAATCCTCCGGTCGAGCAAAGACGAGAGAAAAGAATAAAAACTTGGGGGAAATACCAAGAACTATTGCTCCGTGGATTTCCTTGATTCGTTCAAAATGTTGAATTGTATTCTTTCAATATAGTCTTAATATTATTCAATAAATAAATCTCTATCCAGCATTTGGTTTTTTATTGGTGGTTTGGACTAGCTATTTTTCATACGTTAGAACGGATCTAGCAGTCGACAACGCAAGAAATTAAATAACATGCAGATGTACGTGGTTTGCTTAATACGATGTGTGTTAGCTAATCCATGGATAGAAGATGCAAGTTTCCAATCTCCAATCTTCTTCGCTCATATTAGTGTCTCTTGATGCTATCATCAGGCCTTGCTTGTGGCGTCACAAGTGGTGGCAACAGTAGCATGTGGTTTCCAGCAACCGATGCGAAAAAACCTAACTTCAACATACATATGCTGAACACTCGTGCTAAACTTCAATTTCTGAAATTAGTGAAAAATGGAATGATTATATTTAAATCCCACCTATATAATATTGTAAACCACATACATTTGTATTGTTCCTTGTCTAGAATCATGTTATATATTCCGTTGATATGGGGACTAACACCTTTAGCAGACGGAACTACTACTTAAATGAAAGCAAACAAAAGCACGTACAACCATATCCCCTACTTAGTACAAAAAGTTGAAACCCAAAATCGACTCTAACTAGCTGGTTGGTTAGTACACGTATGTTCTATCTAAGAGGACTCGTAGAGGCCAATACATTAAAAAAACCAAAATTAAGCATGTAAAAAGATCCACATGCACTACAAAATTGGGAAGAATTAGGGACAAACATTGGGGGACGACCATTGTAGTTGTCTCAGGAAATATGAGTTTAAGTAAAATTAGGGACGATCACTTAAAGTTGTCCCCACAAAATAAGAAAATAGGTTTTATTAATTTTAGAATTTTCGCAATTGCCCCCAAAAGCAAGAAGTCCGGGAAATGTAGAAAAATATGGTCTCAAAATTTCTTAGTATATTGCTCTCAATTCAATTTTCCTTGCACACTGAATATTTTCCTACATTTAGATTGGCCTTTGGATGAATCACTAGTATCCTTCCAATTTTTTCCTTTAAGTTTTCCCCTTTCCACATAGCAATTCATGAGCTACCATTCCCAGTCAGTAGTATATTTATAAAGTGTGTTATTATTTTCCTTTTCATATTCATACTAACTTATGTTTCCTTTTCATA